GAGAGAGAGAGAGAGAGAGAGAGAGAGAGGGAGTGGAGGGAGAGAGGTGATTATCAAAATAGTCGAAGCTGTCGTTCAACTGGAGGAAGAACGAAAGCTTTGCCTTCCTGTCCTAATAAAGGGTGTCAATGGACTGATTCAATCGTTGGGGATGCCAGCGTCGGCTACAGCAGTCGTACTCAGTTTCCCGAGTAGGGATATATATGTCCATGCGGCGAGCCTCGTACATTGCCTAATTGACGTTGGCTAGTATGGACATAAACGTGTTTGTCAATGTGATGATATGCCTTGTATTTGTAAATGTGACATGGTGTTGATCTGCTGACTGGAATTGTGCCCTTTTGGTGATCTGATGGAATTGTGCCCTTTTGGTGATCTGATGGAATTGTGCTCGCCGCGGAATGTCATATCGGGGCTAAAATAACGAGTCGCAGTACGTTGCTTGATGGTCAGACGAGTGTCTAGAGTGTATTGTGTTTGCGATGTAATCTCCGAAGGAACCGGTCTGAGATATCTCAGAGTTTGAACGTCGATAATTCAGAGGACCAACGTCATTCCTAGTGTGCCATCCGGATTCTAGATCCGGTCTGTATTTTAGGAATATAAGGTTCCACGAACTGAGTTAGTTTTATCGTTCTATAAGTCTTACTCTAGAGTGCCTGTGACAGAAAGGAAGAGAATAAGTGACCTTGCTATTTTCATTTGAGGCCATGGCTCGACCGGGAAACTATCCCAATTGAGCGCGGCATTTCTGCACAGTGGTTGTGGCCATGCTGCATTTTTTTGGACGCTGTGACTGTGCTCAAGATATTTACGAGTCATACATGTGAACGTATGTCACTGTTGTTTGCAAGCCTTGTAATAGTGAGCGGTGTTTGATAAGCCTGGCAAGTGAGAGTGTGAACGTATGTCATTTGCCTGCAAGGTGTAAGTCTTGTAATAGTGAGAGCGCTGGTGTCGATAAGCCTGCGGTAGTGAGCGGGAGTGCAACTAGAAACCAACGTGAGTCCGTAGGTGGTTGCGACGTACGTTGCGGTGGCGCTGAAGATGTTCTTTGAGCTCTGTTGCTCAGCTGAATATCATTGTATATCTATTGAATGGCTGTCTGGTTATAATGGGAAAGTCTCAATAGTGGATTTGAGTGTTTTTTTTTAGGGTTAATAGCATAAATATTGCTGTAGTTTGGCAGCAAAAATGTCCTCCGTTCGAAGTTACCTTTGCAAAAATAGGTGTTTCGTTGCAGCTTTGTCGGGTTCCCATAGTTTGCCAGCAAAAATACCGCGTTTTGCCCAGTTTCACAGCAAAGGAGCCCTAGGTCTCTGGCCTCAGGGCCTCAGGG